CAGACGGAAACGGAACGCGGGGATGAGAACAAAGAGGCAAGAGCTCATGGAAGCAAATGGAATTGGACTCTGATTAGCCTGTGATGGATTGATCTCCCGCCACCGATTTCTCAGACGCCCCGCAGTTCCAAGTTACAGCTTGTTCAATATTTTAAAACCAATTTAAACCCAATTTTTGAGTTTGTTTTTTCCCCCAGAAAAATGATTGCATTAATCAAAAACTGTATTAAGGTTTGGGTCAAATGGCCCAGTGGATGGGGAGAGCTGGTGGGCCCCAGGAGGGGAGCGAGTGCCTGCCTGGATCACGTACCATCTGGACCAGAAATCACTCAGCTCGAGGTGGGAGGGAGCCAGCGAGCGGGCTGACAGAAGCAGCCTCATGAGTGAACCTGCCGGAATGGAGCACGTGACGAGGGCAGAGGGGTTCGTTTTGTGAGCGTTCGAACAATCTGGGCACGTTGTTGCTTAGGATTGGCCATTGTGGTTGTGCAGATTATGATGATGCGGGTGAGCACGTTGTTGCTTAGGATTGGCCATTGTGGTTGTGCAGATTATGATGATGCGGGTGAGCACGTTGTTGCTTAGGATTGGCCATTGTGGTTGTGCAGATTATGATGATGCGGGTGAGCACGTTGTTGCTTAGGATTGGCCATTGTGGTTGTGCAGATTATGATGATGCGGGTGAGCCCAAGCTCTTCTGCTCCAAGTCATAAGCCACATGCATTGCCCTAGAGTTGATTCTGATGCACCCTGACCCTGTAGGACAAGAGTGGATTTGAGCCAGGGGGTTACTGAGGCTGTAGATGTCTACAGAAGCAGACTGCCACAGCTTCCTCCTGAGGACCTGTGGGTGGGTTTGAACGGTGGACCTTCTGGTTAGCAGCAGAGCGTGTTACCCACTATGCCACCAAGGCTCCTTCCATTCTACAGGGGTTGTCATGAGTCCTGTATTGGTAGGTGGGTAGAGCATTTTTCTCTCAAAGACTTCAGGTCAACAAAACTGCAGAAGCCATTCGCCTGGAGCTCAGAGCATCATTAAATGGAATGGGGCCTTTCGGTTGGATACACTTCCTTGTTTGGTGTGCCCCTTTCTATGGTCAAGAGTTGGAGGATGGTCATGTTCAGTGGTAGAAATGTCGCCTGCCTTGTGGGAGATTTGAATTCCGTTTCTGGCCAGAGCTCTGTGTTCACAGCCATGACTGACCTTGTGATGGAGGCTTGCATGTTACTATGATGCTCACAGGGCTCAGGGGAGCTTCCAACTCAGAGAGACGAGACGAAAGGCCCTGGTAGTGTATTCCACTGCAAGCCTGTTCATTACAAGGGATCATGGGATGACAGAGGACCAGGGAGTGTTTTGCTTGGTTGTTCTCAGGGTCATCTTGAGGCAGGCTGACCCAATGGGCACTGACAATAGTCTTAACAACATGATCAAGAGTCGCTGACCGTGGGTGAAATAAGACAACCTTAGAAATGGGGTGAATGTGCTGGTTGTTCTGAATTCATTTCCTTCTTGACTCCGAACCTGGAAGTTGACTCCCATGGATTACATCTCTTGTGGCTGGCTGTCAGTTGGGTCTGGCCAACCAGGGGGGCCATGATGTAGATGACTTGGTGCGACTCTTCTACCTATAGTCTTGGTAACGCCCATCCAGTGACTGGGTGGGAACAAGCAGGCAAGGTGCAGAGGATGCTCACTCTCAGGGATTGGTCAGCTTTGCCTTCTGGCTGGGTATGAAGTGAGCTATCTCAGACAGGGACAGAGAATCCCACAACCAGGAAAAGGAGGGTTTCTCTGTGGAAAAGCAGTGGCAGCAGAAATCATGAAGCAGGAGCCCCAGTGGCAGCAAGGACCGTGAGTTCAATGCACACGTACTGAGTGAATGAAACCATGTAGTTCTCTTTATCAACACCATCATTACAGATATTTATTGAATGTCTAGTACCAAGTACTGTGTTGGGCCTGAGGACTAGGAGGTGGGTCAGACACAGTTTAGTTGAAAAGATTCTTGCCTCTGCCCCCTTGTTGCTGGCGCTTCATTATCTCACCCCGTGGTCGTCTCGACAAACTCTGGCCCTCACCAAGAAGAAGCTCAATGTCACCGTCTAAGCCTCCTCTAGGGAAGCTTGATACAAAGCCCTACCATGAAACTCGGGCTTAGCATATTGCTGTAGCTACTTATTCTCCTGTGAGTCTCTCCTAGGAGGTGCTGAAAGGAAATTTACTTAGCTACATTTTCCCAGAGAGTCTCAAAGGGTGCCTAGCTATACAAATGTACAATTAACATTGGCTAACAGATGACCAGATGGCTTAGATTGTCTAACCATTTATCTGTCTTGTATGTTAGGTCTTAATGCCTTTAAAAAAATCTGAGCGACTCTAATCTTTAATAAAGGAGTGCTATCAGGTAAGCATTGGATTGCTAGCCTCAAGGTCAGTGGTTCAAACCCATTAGCTGCTCCTCAGGAAGACACTGAGGCTTTCTGCTCCCGGAAAGATGTCCATCCTTGGAAACCCTATCTAGGGGTGCCTCGAGTTGGAATGGACTCGCTAACAGTGAGTTTTCGGATGCTTTAAGACAAAGACTAGTTGGCACAAGCGAACCAAGAGTGGAATAAGAGAGATGGTTTAGGTTAAATGATGCTCCTCTTTGTGCCCTTCCCCTGCCCTACCCCGTATGTTTAAAAATAAATGGACGTCAGCATCTCACTTCTTGGAAGCCTTTGTCTATGTGTGTGGTCTCATAAGAGCACATGGATGGAAATTGCTAGAAGAACTTAATCTCCAGAAACTGTCTGAGGCAGAGCTCTCCAGAACCTGTGCACTAGTGCCTGAACACCACCCGAACACAAATAAAGCCAAGACAGCGAGCATTTGCTTTCTCAGCTACAGAAGTAATAATTCAACCTTATGCACTCAGAGTACTCCTGGACAACATGGTATAAGGCCATGGGAAAACCCAAATCCACTAGTTATGTCCAACCAGCCAACCAACTAATCAACCAACCAAAAAAACAACCAATTCATGGTGACCCTCCATGGGGTTTCTGAGACTGTAAACCTTTATGGGAGCAGACAGTCTCATCGTTCTCCTGTGGCCCTGCTGGTAGGTTTGAACTGCTGTCTTTGAGGTTAGCAGTCTACAGCTCCACCACAGCACTACCAGGGCTCCTTTAGGCTTGTTTGGTGATGGAAACAGTGGGCAAACACCTCCTGTGGTGATGCGAAATGCCTTCATATGGCCCCTCTATCCATGTCTCTGCAATTCCCACCAAATGATTTGGTGGGATGATGCATATAGGGTGTGCACCACATCAATAGAGAGGCTGGGTCAGATGCCATTCCCTTGTGTACAACAGAGTCATCCCAGGAGCAGGGGCAGAGAGGATTCCCGGAGCCATTGAGGAAGACGAGCCAACAGCAGAGCACATTCAAAATCCCTGGCCGGGGTGGTGGAGGCAGCAGAGCCCGTGCCACTTTGAGATCAGGGACTGAGGCAAGGAGACCACGAGGCAGAGCAACATCAAGGCCATGAGACTGTGTGGCAGAGCCACGGGCAGGCTTCCTGGTCCGCTGAGGCACAAGTCCAGGGGTGGGGTGGCTGAGGACTGGAGAGAGAGACTTGTCTGCTGGCTGAAGAGGGGTGTTGCTCAGTGACTGTAGATCAATGACGCTCAGTCCTGAGTGATTTCTGATCCTGGCCTGTCATAAGCTGTTAGCTGCCCTGACTCCGCCTCATCATGGGGGGCATTGTCTGAGTTCTGCCTGGCCATCGCAATGAATTAGCGAACCCTGCAAAGAAGAGTGTTGTGGGCGGAAGGGTTGGTGTTAGAAGAGGTGAAGGCAGGATGGCGAGTGGAGGTGTGGCTGACCTCTGCCCTGTGGCAGCTGGCCTTGGGCTGGTGGGAGATAGATCCTCCCCCCTGTGTAGCCAGAGGAGGTTCGAGGCGGCCTCCACATGGTTTACTCACCCCTCTGGAGGGTCTCTGCTTTACGCCCTGATCACAGGGCATCAGACCTTTGAAGTTTCAGAAATGGAGATGTTCCGCAACCCCGATGTTTGCACGTGAGGTTCCCATCAATAAAATGAGTAAAGGATTATCTGGGTAGATTTGGTATATAAACCCTTGTGAACATCTCTATCTGTAGAAAAATAATGAGCAAATCCCTCCACTGTGCTGTAGTTGTTTGGGGTTTTCTTTCCTCCTTCCCCCGGAAGGTTTGGTGGATCATAATTAATAAAGACACTATATTTGCATTTCCCTAAGCCTTCTCCAGCCGGCTGGAGGGAGGCTCCGCAAACACGCTCTTTGCCTCATCAAGACCGAAGGACAGTTCAGCACAGTGCCTGCTACGGCTGCTGGCCAACGCCGTCTTTGCATCGGCTCAAAGTAAAGGCATGGTGCCACTGGCAGAGTGGGCGTCTGCCAAAGATTCTGAACAAAAGCACTTCCTAAAAACAAAGCGTTCAGGGTGGCGCTGGTGATGGTTTCTCTGCTGTCGAGCTCGTCCGAGGAGCCCTGGTGGCGGAGTGGGCTATGTGTTGAGCTGCTAACTGCAAAGTCAGAAGTTTGAAACCACCAGCCGCTCCACAAACGCTGAGGGCTTCCACTCCCGTCAAGAGTTACAATCTCGGAACCCACAGGGGGCAGTTCTACCCTCCCCTGCAGGGCTGCTGCGGATTGGAATCGACTCCGTGGCAGTGGGTTTGAACTTTTAGCTGAGAGGGTGTTGGACCGCTGTGTGTCCCCTCTAAGGGACTCCCTTCACACATGCTGAAGTCACACAGGCCTGTTCCCAGGCAGAAGTCCATCAGGGAGGCCCCCGACGCTGCAGGGAGGCTGCCCCCCAGGCTTGCCCTCAGCTGGGTGTGGGCTGGGATAGAGGGGAGGCAGAGGCCCCCTCACTGCTGCATGCATGCCAGCCTGGAGTGGGTGCTCTTCGGATGTGCTTGGGGACCAGCTCTGCTGGGTGCAAAGAGGACATGCTTGGGTCATACCTGAGACACAGCCCCTGAGCTCGCAGCCTGGACAGCGCATTCCCCTTCGTGGTAGGCCTCCTTACAGTCCCGGCAGAAGACACTCTGTAGGAGAAGAGATAATGCATTAGGGAGGAGGGGCCAGGCATGCAGATGGTTCCTGAGGGCTGGGAGTTCTAGGTCACCCAGAGGAGTCTGGGCAGAAAGGCCTGAACTTCCACTTCTCAACAGATGGCACAGGCACGAATAGTCCTCTGCCAACACACTCAGAGCCGCCTTAACCTACTTGATGGGGATGTGTGTGTGTGCACGCGCCTGTGTATATGTGCGTGTGTATATGTGCGTGTGCATGTGTGTCTGCCTATGTCTGCATGTGTGTCTGTGAATATGTGTGTCTGCCCGTGTCTATGTGTGTGCCTGTGTATGTGCGTGTGGTTCTGCCTCTGTGTGTCTGCATGTGCGTCTGCGCATGTGTGTCTGGGTGCCTGTAAGCATACAGAGCTGGCGCTCACTCAGACAAATGTGCTTTCCACAATTGATGTGTGTATGGATTGTGATAAGAGATGTATGAGCCCCTAATAAAATGATTAAAAAAAGAAAAAGAAAAGAAAGAAAAATGCAGGTCCTTCTGCACCTCCCCTGGACCCTGCTTCGTCGGCTGCCCCTCTGCCGCTCCCCACCCTTGCATAGAGCATCACATAGACTTTGTTTCTTGGTCTCTGACAGGGATTAACACTGCCCAGCTGAAAGCAAAATGGCGGCGCTCAGGTCCTGAGGTCCTTACCCAACAGCCACCCTGTACGACTCCCTCCTTGTCTGTTCCCCCGACTCTCATAACACTACACAGAGGGGTCAGGACCTGGTGGAGCACTGGGTTCAGCGTGAGGTTGATCACCAGCACTCTGAATCCACCAGTTGCTCTGAAGGACAAGGGTGAGCCAGTCTGCTTCTGTACAGATGCATGGCCCCGGGAATCCTATGGAGGTAGCTCTATTTGATCCTGTAGGGTCACCAAGAGTTGGAATCAATGTGCTGGCGATGCCTTTGGTTTTTGGTATCCAGAAGGGGTCCGGGTGAGGACCTATTCTGACATGGCTTCAAAGAAAGCTCTGTCTCCCTACACCAAGTCACAGCCACAGGGATGAGGGTTCAGATTCCCGTACATCCTTCTAGGAGGGCACAGTCCAGTCCTCACCACTCACTGTCATCCAGTGGATGCACACTTATAGCAGTGGCCTTACAGGACAGGGTAGAACTGCCCCTGTGAGTTTTTGAGACTGGAACCCTTTACAGGATATAGAAAGCCTCATCTTTCTCCTGCAGAGAGGCTGCTGGTTTTGAACTGCTGACCTTTCACTTAGCAACCCAGTGTTACCACTACACCAGCAGGGCTCTTTCCACACTGGTACTCATTTAATGGAAGCCGAGGTTCCCGCCCAGTACACCCCGAGCCTATAGGAGTAAATGCCTGCCCAGGGGATCAGATCATGTTCATACGATGTGCTTTTCTGGCTGTTCACCTGTTTCTACAGGTCTTTGAAGAAAGAAGTTTTAAAAGCCCATTTAGAATGGGTATACTTATCCTATACACTACATGCACTTAGCCTGCAAAGGGAGTCTGGGTGACGCCGTGGCTGTTTCCCTGAGGGGAGCCTGGCAGGTACAGCTTCTATAAAAAGATGTTCTTCGCTAGGTCCGTCTAGTCCTTGGCCTTTTTCAAAAGTCGATGTTCTTGTTAGGTACCATGGAGTCGGTTCCAACCCATCGCGACCGCGTGCACAACAGAACGGACACTGCCCATCCTGCGCCCTCCTCACAGTTGTCCTTCCGCTTGAGGCCATCGTTGCAGCCCCTGTGTCAACCCATCACCCCGAGGGCCTTCCTCTCTTCCATGATCTCTCTACTTCACCAAGCACGAAGTCCTCCTCCAGGGACTGGTCTCTCCTGACAACACGTCCAAAGTCTGTGAGGCACAGTCTCACCATTCTTGTCTCTAAGGAGCAATCTGGCTGTACTTCGTCCACGACAGATCAGTTTGTCCTTTTCTCAGTCCGCCGGACTTCGACTATTCTCCTCCAGCACCACAACATGTCCAAAAGGAAAATGGAAAACCAGCCATTTGAACGGTCTTGGTTATTTGCACAGTTGAAGCTCAAAACTCTTTCCAGGTATTTTTCACCTCAAGGGCCTGCAAGATAAAGCACTCGTGGACCTTAATGACCCGACGAGAGTTCTTCATCCCAGAGTGTGACTGCTTCCTTTCACCTGATGGTAAACTTACTCACCAGAATGTTCACTGGTGGCCTGGGAGCGTCATGCCACACTTCTGCCTTCACGATAGGAACAGTAATTGGCTGGTCCCAAAGGCCAAAGACAGGGAGCTCTGGTGGCATAGTGGGGTAAGCACAGGACTGTTAACCTCCAGGTCAGTGGTTCCAATTCGCCAGCCACTCTGAGAGAGACAGATGTTCTATGGGATCACTGTTTGCCAGAATCGTCTCGATGGCAGTGGGGAAATACCTCTCTCCAAACCAAACTCACGGCTGACTCATAGTGAGCCCCTGTGGGTTTCTGAGACTGTGACTGCTCATGGGAGTAGAAAGCCCAGTCTTTCCTCCAGGATGTTGCTGGCGGTTTCCAATTGCCCACCACATGGATTGTAGCCAAACGTGTAACCTCTAGTAAAAGTCTACTTAACACAGGCTAAATTCAATGGGATACATTGGTTTTCTTTTCCACTAAGTAAAAGCCAAACTATTCTTACTGTTCAAATCATCTTTTTCTCAAGCCCTGGTAGCGATGCTAGGTAGGTGTCAGACTGCAAATCCTAAGGTTGTCAGTTCTAACCCACCAACTGCTCCAAGGGAGAAAGATGAGGGTATCTGCACCCTACACAGGGCTGCTGTGATTCGGCATCCACCTGGCGGGACACGCAGGGCCGCTGTGAGTCAGAAACCACCTGGCGGCAGTGGGCTTGGTTTGGGTTATTGCTCAGCAGAGAAGTACAATCTTGAACCTTGACAACATATAACTAAGAGCCAGGTGCCATTGGGGTGGCTCTGCCCCCACGTATGACAGGGTAGAACAATGCCCCATCAGTTTTCAGGGGCTGATTTCTGGGCAGCAGATCACCTGGCCTTTCTTCTGTGGCCCCTTGGCATGGACTCGAACCTCCCACCTTTTGGTGAGCAGCTAAGCACAATCAGCCCCATTTAGCATCACTCGGGGTTTCTCTCCTTCAATACTTCTCATTGTGACGTGGGCGAAAGTGTACAGAACAGGTGTGCGGCTTCCGTTCTGCAGTTCATACACATTTTGTTTCTTCTCATTGATGTGACACCCAGGGACGTGTGATGCTCAAGACAAGACACAGAATTTCGGGCTGCCATCCGTGGCACCTTGCAGGAGGGCTTTAGACTTAGACCATTGATGTGTCGTTTTGGGCTTTGGAGTCAGAGTGACCTGGGCTTGGAGGACCTTCCCGGTCATTGATCTGTGCGACCCTGATGCTGCTTTGCTTTTATGGTTGTTGCTGGTTTGTCTGTGGCGGCGGTCGGGAAGAAACCATCACGCTGTTTGGTAAGGAACACGCAGCACAGTTTCTGGCCCACTTGCAAACATAGGAGATCCTTTTCTCGCTGGGCTGGGGTGCTTAACAAGGAAGAACGTTCTGTGCAGAAGTCAGGTGATGGTAAGGGAGTGTGCTAATTACTGCATCTCCCAGGATACTAAGAAGAGTGGATAGTTAGGGCCACGAGCGAGTTCTGGACAAACAGAGAATCTCTTAGGAGATGCCACCCTGGTAAGCACCTCCTAGCAATATGTGTTAGCCCGGGTAGGCTGAAGAAACAAATTCATAGACACTCATAGGTGTATAAGAAAGAGCTTTATATACAAGAGCGATTGAATATTGAAAAAACATCCAGCCTAGTCCAGGTGAAGTCCATATGTCCAATATTAGCCCATATGTCAGATACCAATCTATAAATTCCTCTTCAGACTCATGCAACACATGCAATGATGCTGAATGCAGGAAGATCACAGGCCAGTGAGTGGAACGTCTTGTGGATCCAGTGGCAGTAGAGACATCTCAGTGCTGGTGTAGAGGCTCCTCCAGCTCCAGGGCCCTGGCTGCATCAGCGTAGCTCTATCAGGCTCATTGTCAGTAATATCTCACAGGGAGTGAGTATATCTGGCTCCAGTCAGTTATTTATCTCCGTGGCATCTCCCAATGAGGCCATCAAGATGCAACCTGATTGACAGGCTAGACTCCACCCCTTCACAAGTTGACACCAAATTATGGAGCTACCACACAATGCGACATCTGCACAGAAACAGCGTGGCCTTGCTTTGTTCTCTATGTGGGGGCTCCCAAAAGTTCATGGAAAATGGAATTAGAAGACAATGGAACTCATTTATCTTTAACCTCTATAAACTACACAAAGCTTATAAATTTATAGAGTTTATCCTCTATGAACACCAATTATGGAAGAATGGATAAAACATGGCACACAGAAGAGAAGGGAATAAGATACATCAATAAAAAACGGCACCGGCTCTCTTAAGCAGGGCACAAGACGTGGACAAAACTAGAGAACATCATGCTTAGCCAGCTAGGCAATCTTATAAGGTAGCTATTCAATGACACCGATATTGTAAGGAAAAAGGAGAGGGGTCTTCATGCCCAAAGACACTACCAGCAGGCCAGGACAGGCGGGCGTAGGGAGAGGGGTGGGATAAGAGATTGTAGAGGGAGGAAGGAAGGATGGGAGGGAAAATCAATACAAGAGACCCACTTCGGTGTGGGGGAGGGCGGTGTAACAGGATGTGACTACTGATGGAATGTGTTCATATGGGCTGTGTAACTACGTGGCATATGCTTCTTTGAAAACCCAAATAAAGTAAAAAGAAGACACTAATCAACCAAAAACTCCTCCAGAGGGAAGGCTCCCAGCCTTTTGATCCCCAGATTCCTTACGGCTCGGCTGTGTATCATGGTCTGAGTGGCCGAGAAAGGAGGAAAAGCAAAACTCAAGTGGACTTGGAGGATTTAGTAAAAAAAAAAAAAAAAAAAAAGAAGATAATGGAACACTTCCAAGGTGTTT